GTACCAGACGGACATTAAAATAAAATATATGATACTACCTTATTTTCATTATTTCAGAAGTTCATAGTTACTACAGTCTGTGGTTTAAAAATCAATATACATATTATAATTACATGATGTGTGTACATAGTTGACAACACATGCAACGAGTAGAGCATTTTACATAATAGGGTTGCAAATATTATTATTTTCAAGTGTGGGAGAGCCATGCTTCGGCACGAATGGGCCGGCTCGACCGGAGTGATACCACGGCCTCACAGAAAACCGACGTGAAGCAACGCTTGCATTGTGTTTCGTCGTGTGAATGAGGTTACCGGAGGCCCAATTACCTTCCCCTCCCCCAATTTCCCCAATCCCTGAATCCCCAACGATCCTCAAACTCCTAATCCCCAAAAAGCCGGTGACGCACTTGTAACGCCTCTGGTGTTCTAGATGTCCATGGGCGACGCCGATTGCTTACCATCAGGTGATCCGTCTGCTCGTTTACCGGCTTATACCATAAAAAAAAAACAAAATGTTAAAAATTGGCTCGTTGGTCGTGTGGTCGCAAGTGCGCAAGGGGTTTCGTGTTCGATTTTCGGATCAGGCAAAGTATTACTGAGTTTTTTTTTAATTCTCTCTAGTAGCACGGAGATTGGAATAGTGCCCGGTATAGGACAATAGGCTCACCCCGTATTACATGGGACTCATAACATAAATAGTGAAAAGTGGGTGTTACATTGTACAGTGAAATTAAGTGCCATAATATGCACCTCTGCCTACTCCTTCGGTGATAAAAGTATTTAAATGCATTTATGCCGGAATATTAAAACGTTACTCAATTTTAAGTCGTGCTCAAATATCGTGCCATCTCTGTCATTTTACAAGGAATTTGTAGAGATAGAACTATACTTAAGCACGACTTAAAATTGAGTAGCGTTTCAGTATTCCGACATTAGTCATGTAAACTCAATGTGTAAACAGAATTTCAGGTCAATCGGTCAAAGATATCTGCTTCGAAATGCAGTTGCAAGATTCCACTTCACACATACACACATACGTGCGTTTAGGGGATTTTAAGGTTATCGGATTGGGGATTTGGTGAATGAAGATCAGAACTTGGAAGATTGAAAATAAAATTTAGGCATTGGAGATTGAAATGTCTGTTTTGGAGTTAGGATTAGACATTAGAGAGATGAGAATGTGGAAATTGAGATTGGTCCTCCGGTAACCTCACTCACACGACGAAACACAACGTCAACGTTTTAGTAACGGAGTCGATGAGGACTTAATAGGATACCGAGGCTCCGGCTCGAAGTGCAGGAGTAGGAACGGGGTGGTTTTTAGTCAGTAAGAGTCTTTTTTTACGGTATACGAGCAGACGGATCACCTGATGGTACGCAATCGGCATCGCCTATGGACACCTAGAACACCAGAGGCGTTACCGGCCTTTTGGGAATAGGAATTGAGCATTTTTGAGGGTTCAGGGATTGGGGAAGGGAGGGGAGGGGTTAATTGGGCCTCCGGTAACCTCACTCACACGACGAAACACAACGCAAGCGTTGCTTCACGTCGGTTTTCTGCTCGGCCGTGGTATCACTCCGGTCGAGCCGGCCCATTCGTGCCGAAGCATGCCTCTCCCACACTTAACACAGTCACACGAAGCCATTGTACGATACTCCTCTCTGAAAAAACCGTTGTTAGTAACAGCCCTAGCTGTAGTTTCCAACACGCGATGTGCAACATGATTGAATTTCAAATATGAACGTAGCCTTATTGTGTGAACACTAATAATAATGCACTAGCTTGACCCTTATCTATATAACAGTAATAAGTAATAAATAAATGAACCAAGGGTAGCATGGTATTCTATGAAGGTACGAGTGAATAGGTTGCTTATGGGACGACGTGCTCCATCGTAGACCGCGTCATCGTGCACCTCCAGGCGAGACAGTGGTCATTGGCCCATCCTTACTATTTATTTATTTATAATATGGACAACCAGTAGTTGCTATATTAGGTCTTATATCTAAGCACTTACATTGTAATACATTTTAAATGCACAACATTTTAAGGTGTCACAACATGCACCGTCGTCTAACGATGATACTTTTATCAGTATTTGTGATAATTGGAGAGTAAAATAAAAACTAAGAAATACTTAAAATTAAAACATAAAATAAAATAAAAAACTGAAATAAAAAATCTAAGTACATATTAAAAATCTACGTATTATGATCACTCAATAATCTCACTACAGTCACTCAATAATCTCACTACACTACTATATAATATTATAAATCGGAAAGTGAGTTTATTTGTTTGTTACGCTTTCACGCCGTAACTACTAAACCGATTGCTTTGAAATTTTGCAAACATAAAGTTAGAAGTCTGGATTAAATAAAGGGGTACTTTTTATCCCGGAAAAAATTCTTATTCTCGAGGGAAAACGAAATTATTGGTATAGATGGCACTGTGTGTATTGGTATGTCACATAGGCTACTTTTATCCTTTTGTGACGCGAGCGAAGCCGCGGATAAAAGCTAGTAGGGTAAGTAATAAATAAATGAACTAAGGGTCGTATGGTATGAGGTGGGTGTCTTCAAGGCCTGAGTGAATAGGTTGCTTATGGGACGACGTGCTCAATTTTTGTCACTACTTGTCTCCTGCGTCGTGGGTGCGTTTACAAACATACAAGTTCACATACACATGACACACAGACCTGGAACTACAATCTGTGGATCACACAAAGATTTGTTTCGTGCTGAAATCGAACCATGTTTCAGGGCAGCCGGTGAACGCGCAATATGTACTTAGCGGATCATGTGTCCGTCGCAGATATTGTCGGGACTTCGAGGTCCTCTGGCCTGGGCACAAACCCTGAGTGCCCCTGTAGTATAGATGGCATTGCAGTTAGATTCCAATAGTAGGTAATTTAATACTTTCATTCTAATGTAGACAATCTAGTTTCCTTATGGCATCGAGCATTTCTTTCTTTATTGAAACAAAGAGTTTCCTTTTTCTTGTATAGAAGCACTATTTCTATGGATTGTCAGTATGCATAGGTATGTGAGCACCATGTTAGACTATAAGAATTTTTTATTTTAGTAAGTTTTGTAATTAGTACCTACAATGCGTCAAGCGTGTCTTTGCATTGTTCTCACATATACGCACAGTATTGGAATATGTATCAGAGACATTGTAGAACATACTTTTTAAAAAAAGAGTAACGAATGGAGTTTTTTACTCGTTCTTGTCCATTCGATTCTACATTTTGGTATGAGCACATAGCTTCACCTAGCTTCACTGACGGACTGACTGACAGACTATTATTTATTTTGTATTTGTTGACGTTACAAAAGTACCAAACTATGGTTTAATTGAAATACATGCTTTGACATTGACTTTGACTTTGATGAGCCGGTAAAAAAACGTTGTGTAGACAAGCATACTACAAATCAAATGATTATATCTATCTATATATACCTCTATATATATATAAATGAAACCCGTTTCCCGTTGTTACGCCAAAACTTGAGAACGGCTAGACCGATTTGGCTGATTTTTTTTGTTGTGTTCATATCGTCAGGAGAAGGTTCTTATGACAGAAAAATTACTGAAAATCCTACGGGGATGGGTGTAACAGGATTGCGCGTACGAAGTCGCGGGCAGAAGCTATTAGAGGATAAAAATGCTTGGAGACAAGCTGGTCCGGCTCCGCACGATAATACATGAAACACAGTGATGTTTAATGAATTCTGTTTATGTAATAATATAGTCATATTGCTTAAATTATTAAAGACACAAACAAACGATACAACAAACAATGATAGTATTTATCTATTTTAAATATAATTATTAATTAGTTTACAAACATAGTTAGGTACTTAATATTCCATTATTATAATATCAATGCGTGTTCACTCTTAATATCTTTTTAATTTTGTCCAGTACTGATACCATTTTAAGTTAGTTAAATGAATAATTGTAAACACGGTGGATTCGCGTCGCGATCCGCGCGCGTCAAGGAGCCATCAGACCACCACAGATGGGGCCCAATAGGGCTGATGCCGATACGGAGCCGCCTCCGACTTAACGGGTTACCGGCGGTCCGGCTCAAAGTGCAGGAGTAGGAACGGGGTGGTTTTTAGTCAGTAAGAGTCTGACACTCCATCCCGCCTCACCCAGGCGGGAGAAGTCATTCGAAGATTTTTCCCTTTTAAAAGACAGGGTTGATTTGACTGTACAGTTGGCGCGGTGGCTCGGCAACTCTTTGTGTGATCCACAGATTGTAGTTCCGGGTCTGTGTGTGATGTGTATGTGAACTTGTATGTTTGTAAACGCATCCACGACACAGGAGACAATCCTAGTGCGGGGCAACGTTTTTAATGAAAAAAAAAATACATGAGGACTTGTAACAGAACGAACGAACCTCGTTGGCCGAGTGGTCACATGTGCGACTGACGGGTATTGTATTACTGGGTTTGTTCAAAAATCTCAGTAGTAGCACGGAGTCTGGAATTGTGCCCGATATAGGGCAATAGGCTCTCTCCCTATTACATGGGACTCGTAACATAAATAGTGAAAAGTGTACTCTAGTATTAAAGTTGTGTCTATCGCTTCTTTTTTCAAACAATACGGTAGTTGACAGGTAGTCAAAAATACTATAGTCAGAATTATAATTACGATACTTTTCTATGAATTTTGTATTGGATCCCATGACGTAGACCTTATGACGTCATCATATTTCTGCGTCAAATAGCATACCTTGTTTCCTTAAAATTAGCGAGGAAAAATCCAATAGTATTATTTATTTATTTATTTACACACTATATAATACTATCTATACCTACATACTAAGTAAACAATATATACATTAAAAATATTTACAACTTAAAATTAACTACAGCTAAAATATTAAATAAAACGAAAGTAAAAAAAATAAATAAAAAAAATAAATATAACTGCTATAAATAAGTGAGAGTGCGTGTATGTAAATTGTCAAATAAATCAATTAATGAGAGTATGATTATTTTATAATTATTTATTGCATTGAAAAGTTAATACCAGATTGAACCTAGGCATTAACTTTTCTTTTATTACTACATACATCACATTCACACATAAGATATTCCATAAAATAACTCTCACTATTGACCATCTCGTCACATGGACAAGTTTCGCGATGGTCCGGACGCCAAGCATGGAGTGGACACGGGCAATAAATACGTCTAAATAATTTATATGGTAGATTGATGGGCATCCACAAATTATTAACTAGAAGATCAACTAATAAAGTATCATTTTGAAATTCGATTACGGTTACCTCGCATTGTGAATTCATTATGTCTTCATGGATACAATCCAATGCCTCTTTAGTCCATACTCCTCCTATAGGCATTGTATTATATAAAAGACATGGGTACGCAAGGCTAGGTATGTCATGCGTCGGCGTACCCTTTCGTAGACTTTCAAAAGGAAATCGTAGTCTGGTGCCATAATCGACGTACCGAACAGAACACATCTTATGTTCTTCATCGACTTCTAAAATTCTTGTCCTTACGTATTCGTTTTTTAAGCTGTCGTAAGCTACGCACGACTCTCCCACCCGCCAATTATTAATTATTCTGTTAACGTCGTAATTCGAATAATAAGCGGCGAGTGATGCCTTAATATTTATACTTGATTCACTGTTTATATCGTCAACCATGTATATTACGCCATTATCGTCCAAATATCTGTAAAAAGAAATTCAGAATAAACAAGTGATACATAACATAACATAACATAACATAACATAACATAACATAACATAACATAACATAACATAACATAACATAACATAAC